TTTACAACTGATACTGGTTTGTTTGATTACTAAAAATGTGCCTGGGTATCTGCATTGAAGAGACACATCAGTCGACCCTTACTTCTGAGTGTTTGCCTCCATTAGCATACATAATCAACATTTAACTAACACCCAGGGGCCTACTCTGCAGCAGGTGCTGGCTCTGTTTCTTTTTCTTTCTTCTTCTGCTGTAAGAATAAGAATGCCATTGCACTGCCCCATGGGAAGGCTCTGGCTGACTAATGTAAGCGCACTATAGTGAGGCGGCTGGTCTTAATTATGATAACAGACGCTGTGGGGGAAGCACTGGTACCCACAGACGAGAAAGTAGCTTAGTACTGCCATGGCCAATAATTAGCACATGGATAGTCCCCCTCCCCACCTCTGCCACACACATTCATACTCTTACTCTCATTGCACATCAAACATAAACACTGCGTTTAAAGGTCAGACAAAGAGACATGAGGCATTTGAATGCCGAAGAAGTGATTAATGTTCCTCCACGTGGACCAGGACTCTTATCAATATTCATGCTTGTCTGTCAACTGTATACACAGCTGCAAGAGAAAAAAAGATGAAGACATCTTGTGCTTAGCTGGGAAAAGGACTTGTCAGATAAAGTCACATACAGTACCAAAAGAAAAAACAGAAGGTAAGAAATCTCTGTGCCTTATTCAGGCTCTGTGACTCAGTCAGTGTCAGAGCCCATTGAAGTTTTATTGAAATGATTTCAAATGCTTGGAATCCCTATTAAAATCTCCTCTGTGTGTCAGGGCAGGGAGAACATGATTTAGTGGCTGTTTTTGCTCTGCCCCTGCTCGCAGTGTGTCACCGGCCCTGACTGTGGTATGCATGAGCTTCCTCTGCACAGGGCTATGAAAGCAATTGTGATTGTGATTCCATAGTCAGCAAAACGCTTGAATGGTCCTCAGTTAGCATGCGCGGACAAACACACACTTTCACACACACACAAACTCAGCCTGTCCACATACTGGGCCACTGATTACTTCAACCCATTTGACTCTCACTCATCCTTTCATTCTCCCTCTCGGCCCAAATGTCACATACCACAGGGTTTGTCATTAGCTAATAGTGAAAACGCCTCTCACGATAAACAGATATGACGGCCAGCATTATGTGGACCAGTTATGTTTTCAGTCGTGATCAAGATTCATACATATTACAATTAAATCTCTCACATTTAACCCAATCTAATCACACGTTATATTTGTATTTGTTCAAGTGCTGGTTTCACTTGAGTGAAAGTGCTAAATGCAAAGTCATTGCATATGTTAACAGAAGGTAATCAAACCTTTGCATGGCATATAAATGGCTGGTCTGTAATAAAAAAAAAAACACTGCGATAAGGCATTCAAATGGAGCACATCATTTCCCAGCTTATCTAAGGCAAAGGAGACCACCGCCTAACAAAGCCAGCTCTTCAGTCATGCTCTATCTAAGCAGATATCAGTTGTTGGGAGACTATATGAGCTGGGTGGGGCCTGAGTGTATAAACACAGGCCGCACTCTCTCTGCACTCTATGCTATTGCTGTACTGTGGGCAGGACCTCACCCCAGCAGCATTCAGCACTGTTTGATTAGGGTATTCAAATAAAGAAGCAGACACTGCGTTTCCATTTCACAAAGCAAACTAGAAGGACACAGATAGCCACAAATTAGAAATGGACATATCGTATATGTATATGTGTTTGTTTGCTTAAATTATAATATATATGTATGTTGTATATATATTTTGCATGTGTTAGATGCAGCAGGCAGGATAAAAACATGAAGCACTATGCACCATTGTAATAAAGACAGGATGACTACTGAAAGTACAGAAGTTCAAATCTTTTGGGTTATTTATAGATCTCTCGTGACCATTGCAATCTGCACTTGATGTACATTCTTTGCTCATTTTTCTTTTTTCTTTTTCTTTTTCTTTTTTGGCATTCACACCTTTTTATGTGTCTCGGTAGCTAATGTCCAAGCAGTAACAAACAAAATGAGCCACAATGCTAACAGGCCAACCGACTGCAAACATCTGTCACTGAATACAGGAAAAAGTTAACGTATCCAGCTTTGAAGCTGTTTTTTAATTAATCAGTCACAGGTAGCAACAGCAAACAGAGACACCTTGAATTATATTAAAACTATTCTGATTATGAACAGCTATGAGCCAAACAAGCTGTCATACTGCTCACTTGGAGCAGTATGACAGGAGCTGAAGGCGCGTAACAGCACGTGTACGCTGAACGTCACGTAGACTTGCTTAATTACTCAAGTTGTGTCCACAAGTAGCATCCAAAAGGAGTCGGTGATAAACGTCAGAGGTTTAGACATTAACAGTCTATGAAGCTGAGATACAAACACATATGCAATCTATCCATTTCAACCAACGCGTGACTCAAATTAACACTTTTAATGTCACAGCGCCGAAAGGCAAAAATTTCACAAGTTTTTAAAAGCTGTCTCACTCGCTGCTTTTTATTTACACGATTCAAGCGTTTTACCTTTATGACCAAACTGCAAGTGAACAGTTACACCAGAAATTCAGCTGCAAACCAAAATATCCCTGTGAACAGGCAACGCAAGCCCTTAAAAACAATTAACCCCGGTGATACGATTAGCCTTTTGCCTCCCTGGAGCTTTAAAAAGTCTTAACTTGAGCAGAATTCATAAACTAGAGAACCACGGCTTGTAGAAATCATTTACAATCGGCAGATCTAGTCCATACATGCGGTACATGCATAATGAAAAATAAGTCTGTTTTTTTTACCAAAGTCGTTTTGACGAGAGTGTGAGGGAAGGAACTTGACCTTGTGCACTGTGTTAACAGGACACCAAATGATCCCTGCTGGCCTCATTTGCATTCCAATTGAAGGTAGTTAGATTTGCACATGTGATGATAGCAAATTATCCCTCCCTTTGAATTTCAAGTAAAGAGTGCCGAGGGATTAAAAAAAAAAAATCTAACTAACACTTGTAATTTTGTGGGACACCACATTCTCACGTCAGTGAAAGTAATTAAGTGTCACTTTCTGCCTCGTGAAAGCTTTTTTTTTTATTGTCTAATGTAGCCAGTGGCTTTGTTTCCAGGATTCAAGCAGTGTGCATGGATATCAGCATATTCTTGGGATTAACCGCATGGAGGCTGATCCTAATTCATTTGACCTACAAAACGATATAGCCTGTGGAGATAGTTGCATGAGCCCATTTGTGTGTCACAGGTGTAAACCTGCCTTATCGAGAAATGTTTAATATAAGACGCCTTTGACTTGTTATCAAACGCATGGTCCTAAATTAAACTATAACTTGACTTTTCTCCCAGCTACCGATGCCACCAGAAAGCTCATTGTGGCTCTTCTTTCTAAGACCAGAACCTGCAAAATGTTAATCACTGGAATGTTCCGTTCAGTTTGATAGATTTTCCAGTGCCCACACATTGAAAGCAAAAACATCCCCAACTGTCTTTTGAATCATTCTCCTCACTGTCATGCCAGCATCTTAATTCCGAGAAAGAACAAACTCTAAATCTTTTTACCAACCAACAGCGAGCCAACATCCAAATGGTGATGATTTGCCATTTTCCAAAAACGGTGAGTGAAAACAAACTTTAATTCATCAACTGAGGGTGATATACTGACACTAAAGTCAGCTTTAAATGGGTTTAAATCGATTATCTAATATTTCTTATATATTACATATACACCAATTGTTTTTTCTAACATTGTACATCTGACATTGTGTTGTGTTTGTGGCCTTCATTTGTACTTTCATATAAATGTAGGTTCCTTTCTGGAGCTTTTCTCTCATTCGGCATGCACTCTGTTTAATGGTTAGATTCCTAGTCTCGATCCTAACTCTAACAGTTTTTCCTTATTTCTTTTCTTTTTTCTTCTTTTTTTTACATGGCTTGTTTATATATTTGTTCATTTAACCTCCTTAATTCGCCAAGCATTCGTTCGTTCCCTGTTTTCAACACCACCTGCTCTCCTTCAATTGAGTCAGCGCAGGTCAACAAGCCAAAAAGCCGCAGGGTGTCAAAGCTGAGCGAGAGAAAAGAGTGATACTTGTACCAGCCAGACTCTGTGGTTCTCGTTACAAAGTAATTAACACTACATTACTGGCACGCATCCATTTAATCGCTGACTCCCAGCGGAAAGCGCGTAGGCTATAAGAAATCATAGAGAGCGCGTAATAATGTGGGATGGGAGAGCAGAGAAGGGCAGTATGGAATCCATACAGCCCCCTAGTATTCCACGTCGGGTGGGACTTTTTTCGTGCCTGCTTCATGCAAAACGCAAACTGACTGCATGACCTCACCGGCATGGTAATATTGAGGGAAAAGTTGGCGTGAATCCCGTCCCCTCCAAATGAAATAATCATTCCAAAATAAAGATAAAGAAAACAGTGCACATTTCAGCTTTAAAGTTCTGTTTCGTTTTGCCTCGCTGCACCTACTAGTCTGGTTTCAGTCCCAGTTAAAAGCAGTCCAGTGTAGTCCACACTTGACCAGCTGACACTTGACTTTTTATTTTAATTTTAAACAAAAGTGTTTCCAAGTATAAAGTTCGCCATTGGAAATAAAGGGCGTCAAAGGCAGGAGACCGGGCTGCACTGGCATAAACAGGAGAGAACTGTTTCACGTTTAGGTTCAGGTGAGGTGTTAACTATCACAATTTAAGAAAGTACGCAGAGTGTTATCTACCTTGTTCGAGTGATAATAGTCCAGCGAGCTCAGGCAACTTGGATCAGTCGGCAGAGAGCATGAACCCACGTTTGCCGGGGGCGCAGGATAAAATCTCACGTCCATCTCAGGTTGAGCGAGACTGAAGGCATGAAATCACTTTCAGCGTCTCTGACTCGTTATTGTTTCAGCCAAAAACAAAAAACAAAACAACAAAACAAAACAACAACAATAACACAACACCGACACGGGAGAGACAGAACGCGAGTGGGGGAGTTTTTTTTTTACTCGGCGCGCTCTTCCCTCTCACATCCGTTCGCGGCCGAACTTCGGCAGCAACTCTGATGATGATGCGCAGTCCTCCCTCAGAGCCCCGCACCAGGATGCGAAAGCACTCACTCACTCAAAAACGGAGAGGGCGAATTCATTTACGCGCACGTGTTGGCACAAAACAACGCAGACCTCCAACTTGGATCCCCCTCTCTTATAAGATATCTTTCATGGCTGAAGTGCAGCCCAACAAATCTGCCAGCCTCTGTTTTCCAACTGCTCTCAGGGCTCCGCGCAGGCTTTGTTATGGAGGTGCATATTCTTGCATTGGTTCCAGCACAGAAGTGGTTGGACTTCCCTCTGCCATGCGACCTCTGCCGATAATAAACGGGAAAAGAGGAACGGAGGGAGAAGGGGGGAGGGGAGGTTGGTGGCTGCCTTGGCAACCGCTCTCCTTTCTGCAACTGCGCGCCTCTGATTAGCTGGAAATGTAGTAGTGAGCACGGCTGTGCATTATAAAGCGCACTCTGCTTCCATCAGGGCTTCATAAAGGCTTCCATTTGGGTTATTGTGCCAAGGCGGAGGGGAGGAGGCTGCACAAAGTGTTTGCGGTTCGACGATGTTTTTTATATGTTTTTATTTTTTTTCTTTACTTTTTTACAGACTCCCAAAGCTCCCAACAACTTGAATCCAATAAATGCCAACAGAAATCTGCTTTGAAAGCCTGTAACCTTAATATATTCTATTGGATGTTGATAACACCTGATAATTTAAAGCTCAGTATTGTACAAACAGCAGAAGGTGACAAGCCTGAATCTTCTGTAAGTTAGACAAATAAAAGACTATCTAAAGTCTTATTTCAATCAAATAATTACTAGTGGTGCCATAATTGGAATTGGATCAATATTTTGTTAGTGGAATTTGTACGTGAAATTGGATTAAATATTTTCAAGACTAATCGAAGTTTAATTGTCATAGCTCTGAAATATATTCAAAAGGTTGAAAAAGGGATCGGCTCTAAATAGAACAACAGAGTGCAAAGCAGCACAGTTGTATGAGGACTTTCTCAGGTGTGTAAGGGTGGAATAAGTACAAGGAGAATTAATCTTGTATTGCCATACAGCTGCAAATGTGCGTGGAGAGGGGCTGGAGCAGTGAGAGCTGCCTCTGACAGCTCACTGAATGTGATGGATAGCACACCCTTGTCCTGTGACGTGCGTGCACATTTGATGTTGAAATGGCCTATCCATGGATCTATTGTCTTTCAATCATGCCAAGGCAAAGTACAGAACAGAGCCCATTTTCTGCTGCATGGCGTTCTGCCACCATTTATAGAACATACACACACCCTGTCTGCACCCCAAAATGGTACCTCTGTCCACTGACGCGTTCTGTTTTGTTTAGATATCACTTTTAATCTCTTTCTGGGGCACGTTTGCATTAAATTACCGATAACGCAAAACTCTTTACCACCTTTTCAGAGTGTTGCAGACAGGCTTTTATTAGATGAACCTGGTTAATGCATAAAGGGCCTTGTAACCAAGAGAAGGCTGCAATTGTTTTCATACAAACCATGACAGAAGCATCTGCCCACTGCTGCCGTTCTTATGCTCCCAACCTACTCAAATCCAAAGAGCTGGTCATTATCACAGAAGGTCTATTATGTTACAGTAAAACCTCTTTTTTGACTACAGGGAGGGATCTCACTGGTGGGTACGTCCTGCCACTCTCCCCGGCGCAGCACACAGAGGGTTAAGCACATGGCTCAGTGCCATGGCTTCATGGGAATGGAATGTGGAGTGCTGTGTGTGCAAGGCTTCTTTCCCAGCATCCCTCACTGCCCAGGCGCATGCTAATGATCAGTATTATTGAAGCACAATTGATGGGCTAGCAACCAAACAAGAGAAACTAATTACTACTAAGGCGTTATTGTCCTTTAATTACTGAAGCTCAATGGCAATTAGTGCTGCACAAAGACACAGCCCTACTTTAATCTCAAATAAAATGTGATGCAGATGAAAAATTTGGAAGATGAAAGGTAGATAAGATAATTTGGCTTTCGTTGCGTTCTGCAGAAATGATGCCTGATTTGAGGAAAGCGTGGGACAACAAAAGAACTGCTGAGGGTGGTGCTAATTTAAGCAGAAAATCATCTCAAAACAGAATCACTGCATAATATTTCAATGACCTTCAGAAAAAAAAAATGTAAGTGCTGAAGTTTCAAAAGAAAAATAGACAAGCAAGCCGCTTCTCTGAGATGTCCTTAAATGATGACTTCCAAAGTTGTCATTACCATGAAGAACAGTTTTTATAGAAAGCTTGTTCGTTTGAGGACGGTGTCTTTCTGCTGAGCCAACTGTTCTGAGTTTGTGAGGACAAGTGAAACAAACTTTAGTGGCTCAGAGTGCTGATGTTAAAGCTGTTTTCACTGTTGACATTCATATCATTGTTTTCACTGTTGACATTCAAACTTAATGTGTCTGATACACCTCTTGGAATGAGTTCATTTATCTATATTTCTTATCATTTAGATTTGAATTTATCCAGGTCATGGTGATACCATGACTGAGAGCTTGAACGAGGGCAACTGGACTTCATCTAGGATCTTAAACATGCTTCACATCTCATTCAAAAGGCTTCTTAAATCCGGAACCTAACATTCTGCAAAGTAACAATTCCATGTAAGGAATCCAGATCATCTGAACTGAAACCATCTTCCAGACGAGAGGTGAACTGTCCTCCATATCCATAATGGTCCAATTGTCCTTAGTCAGTCGTTTTGGATTTGTGGGTCGAAAGTCTCAGTTAAATCACTTGAATACATTGTACATCGATTACATTGGAGTGCTAAAAAAACTACAACCATTAGATAATTAGATATGCTGGGAGCTAACAATAACAACCAAATACAAAAGAATTAGATGAAAATGCCCCAGTCATGGCCTGAAGATAATTGTTGGGTATAACCATTTAATATCACAGATGGTTTTCCTTATCTAGATATTGTCAAGCAATCATGGAATCATGTAAATGTTGACACTGGAAAAAAATGAACTTGTAAAACTTGTTTTTATATTAAAAATGATATCCTCTGTGAAACACAAAAGCTTCCTCAGATAACTGTCACAGTCATTTTGGGGCTGTTTGGTGATGTGGTGGTGTGCACTGTTGTCTCGTGGCATTAAGGTTTGTGGTTTCAATCTTGGCTGGTTTCTGTGAGTGGGGAGTATCCATGTTTACCCGTGGCAGGCATCGTTTTTTTTTTTATAGGTACTCGGTCTTCCTGCCGCTGTCCAAAAACATAAACGTGAGGTTTGCTGCTGATCCTACATTTATCCTTCCAGTGTGTGTGAGAATGCATGGTTTATGATGGAGTGGTGACCCCTCCCCCATGACCCCGAGTGAGTACTGATGGATTTATAGAATGAATTTTGAGAGCAAAAGATATCTTAAAAAATATGTTTTGTCTTAAAAAAAATATAATAATATGTAAAGTATGATTAAATATCTCTTTTAGTAGATGTTTGTCTGGATCTGTAAATGGTGCAAACTGCAACAACCATGAAGCATCCAGATCAATTTATCTGTGGGCTGAACAAAAAAACCCCTCAAATTAATCCCTTAATTAATACCAATATTCATTTGATGAACATCATTCCTTAAAATTGCTTTTCCAAATGATTCCCCGCAGAAATGGTGGAATAATCTTTTTAATGTTAGTGCAATTATAACCAAATGAGTAAAATGAAAAACTATGATTTCTATGAAAACTTTGGGATAGCTATCTGCCCCAGTTTGCTGAACTCTGACCCCTTTGCCAGGTCTTATTGACCCGGCTTATTCCAGCAGGGCATGGGAACCAGCATGTGCAAACAACCTGGTACAAGAACACAAACAGCACTTAAGATAATGTGTTTATTATTTGCAAGAAGACAAAAGAACGACTTCCCCATCTGTTGTGTCTTTTTTAACATGCAGCAATGCATTACAAAAGATAAGCTGATTGACTTCTTTGATTTCTACAAGGCATCATGCAATGATATGTTGCACTCAGTGCAGCTTTCCAGACAAGAGGGTCATGACCTAGTTTCCCCAGGGTCAACTCCCTCACTCTGTTGCAGGACTTTAAGCCCCTGAAATCCAAACCACAAAATGATTGTTTGTGTGTGGACCGTAGTTGATTTACTCCATTCAAAGAGCATTTTCTGAATTCGAATACAAGTCAGATAGTGTACAGTACACTTAATAAAGGGAACTAACAATGGAAACAAAATCAAGGATATTATTTCAACTCTTGTGTTCATTTTGGTCATTTACCTTCATCCTGAAGCATAATTAAGGGTAAACTACAACAGGACCACCATGTATGGACTCTTGAAGACTCCCTCCTGCACACAGAGAGCTGCAAGGAGAGAAAGAAAGACTTGTCAGTCTGACCACGTTCATTTAGCGCCTTTATCAGAGAAATTCAAGAGACTCCTCTAATTGTCTACAGCATTTCAACATGTGTGAGCCGTTCTGCCAGAGCTTTCTTTAGTGTTTTGTTTTGTACTTTTTAAATTGTTAAATCGCCCAACATTTGCACATGGTGATTATGTCAAGTGAGTTCAAGTTTTCTGAACATTGTATAAAGCAACGCTCAGAGAAACACTGTGGTTTTTTATTGCCTTTGTTTGGTGTGAGGGATCACAACAAGTACATGACATTTGCTCATGATTTCCTCTTCGTTGTGGGATCATTCTATCACATGCTCTTGATTGAGTGCATGTTTTGTGCTCATGTAGGAAAACAGGGCCTATTCTTATTTTTCACTCATTGAAGCACATGTCATAATTTGCCAGAGAAAATTGTTTGTCAGTCAAGCGGAGGAACTGTGAGTCATTCCTATATAAAGAAATTTGAGCATCCAATCACAGTCCCTTTCAGATGAGCAATTAGGGCTCTTTATGAGTAGCTCAAACTGCAGATGTTATTTTTCTCAGAGAACGGGGAACATAGAAAAGACAAGGGGGAAAATAAGCCTATTTAGAATAGAATTAAAGAATATCTTTTTAATGTGAGCTAAAAGAAATTACAACCAAATAAGAAAATTAGATTTTCCAGCATCCACACTTTCTGAAGTCAGTGTCA